TCCTTGGGTGGGACACCAGGCTGGTCCTGCCCAGCCCCTCTGGGAGATTGGGGGGCTGGGGGGGCCTCCCCTCACCCCACGAGGGGTGCAGGAGCTGTACATATATTATATATATTTGGTGATACCTCTGCCCCGAGCGTGGCTGGGCTCTGTCCGTGTCCCTGTCCCTCCTGCCTGGAGCTGGGCTGGGATGAGAGTTCCTCATGCTGTATCCGTGTCCCCACTCGTCCCTCAAATCCCAGGGGGTACGTGACCGACCCTCACCACAAGGTTTAGTCTTACCTTGCACCCAGCTCTGTTCTCTGGGGGGCTGGTGGCCTCAGGGGAGGTTCTCACAGGCATTTTCCTGTCCCTTTCACTGAACCCTCCCCCAGCTCTGTCCTGGGATTTCTGACACCAGTGTGGTGCTACCACCAGGATTTTCTTTGGTCCCTGCTCCCAGCAGAGGATCCTGTCACCAAATCCTGCCAGAGCTCAGCCTTGCACATTGCCTGGCCTCAGTTTCCCTGAGGGGGTGAAATCCTGGGAGATTCACCCTGATTTGAGGCAGGGATTTGCAGACATAGCTGTGGGCAGAGGGAGCCTGGGACAGCCCCAGTTCCACCCCATCATCACCTGCTGGGATTCTGAGCCTGTGGAGCTCAAATCCAGCTGTGGGGATGCTCAGCCCCAGCCCTGGAAGCAACAAACAGCCTTAGAGACATCAGAGAAGTTCTGTGGGCTCAGCATCGATGGTAACATGCCTTTAATCGGTGCCTGGAGCTGTCCCCATCCCACCCTCCTCCTCCTCAGCCAGGGGTGACATGAGCTGGCTCCGTCTGGAGGCGCAGTGTTGCACCCTGACATCGTGGGCAGCACAGAGCCAGGGGCTGTGTGTGCCTCCTGGAGAGCTGCACGTGTCCCCAAGGTCCCCTGGCACCCACCTGAGCGCCTCCAGCACCATCCTGCCCCCCAAATGTCATTCCCAGTGCCAGGACAGGCCTGAGGAGCCTGCTGGGAATCTCCATCCCCAGCCCCCCTGGCTTTGTAGGGCTGCTGGAGCCATAATTAACTTATGAAAAATGTGGTTTATTGTTTAGAAATGAATAACAAAATCCCCACCGGTGGGAGGGGGTGTGAGGTGTCCTGGGTGGGGGTGGGCAGCCCTGGGCTGCCTCCTGTGGCACCCACTGTGGCCAGTGGTGCCAGGGCTTGGCTGAAAACCCGCTGGGGCTGGAACAGCAGGTTTGGTACCTCCCCGAGGGGATGCTGGTGCCCCACAGGGGTGTCCCCCCCATCAGGATGTGGGAGCTGGGGCAGGGGGGCATTACAGATTTTCAGGGGGTGGGTTTGGCCAGCATCTCTTGGTGCTGGGGTGAGCAGGGTCGTTCCTGGCTTCATTTTGTGTTGTTTCCCTGCAGTGGGGGAGATCACAGTGGATAAAGGGGGGAGGGGACAGGATGCACCGGCCCTTGTGGGGACTCGGGGAGCCCCTCTGGGAACCCCCAGAGCTGATGAGCACCTCAGATACAATGGGGTGTCCCCCTCCCCCAAGACTGGCCATGCAGGCACCACCAGTAACGTGCAGAGCCCCCCAAAATCGAGCAGCTGTGCCCCCAGCAGCCCAGCTGGAGCTCCTGGGAGGGTTCCCTCCTGCTGGGCTTAAAACACCTTCCCGAGGGGTAACGGGGTGACCCCCCCAGGGAAACAGCCTTTCATTTGGGATGCTTTATCCTGGTAGCCCCGTCCTCATGGCTTTATTGCCCATCCCAGGGGGCTGCAGGAGCTGTGCCAGGGCCTGATTTCCCCTCCCAGAACGAGCTGTGATGCTCTGGGGGGGCTTTGGGGCTCCTTGGCCCTGCCCCCAGTAACCCCCAAGCACCAGCAGCCGTCCCAGCCACTCTTCCCAGTATGGGACTGGGAGAGGAAGAGCCCAATTCCTGGCATTGCTGGTTGAGCTGGGCAGGGGGTGAGCGGCCAAATTTCAGCTGGGGAGGGGAGAATTGTGCCCAAAACTCCCGTGTCCTGGTGCTCCCCCAGCCACACCCGCGGCTGGCAGTGCCTGGGTGGGGGGAACACACGAGGGGTGAGGAAAGCATCGGGAATCTCCATCAAAGCCCAGTCCCTGGAGGCGCTGGGAGGGCTGGAGTATTTTGGGGAGCCATTTCTGGGGTCCCGAGCTGCCAGTGCCAGCCCCGCTGGGGCAGCCTGGATTTGGGGGCGCCTCTTTTTGCTCCCCACAGCCCCCCTTTGGTCCCCTCAGCGGGGGCGGAGGGACAACACCATGGTGGTGGATGTGGGGAAGCTCGGGGTGTGCAGAGAAGGGGGGAAGGTGACCCCCAGCACCCTGGCCCGGGGAGGGGGGTACGCTCCGGGGGGATGAGGGCTCCGTGTCCATCCCGCGGGGGGATCATGTGGCCCAATTCAGGAGGCTCCCGGCCCCTTCTTTGCTCTTCATCCTCAGTGGCATCAGGCTGGGTG